CCCAGGCAGGGCAGGCAAGTGGGGGCACAGATGGGAGCTGGGAAGCAGTTCGGTGTCTGGTCTGCTTTGGGGTGTCTCGCTTGGCTGCTCCCTGAGCCTCGCTGAGCTCCTTAGGCATGGAGGAAGGAGATCTGAGCCTGAGCCTGGGAATGGGAGAAGGAGATGCTGAGCCAGGGCTTGGAGGAAATAGATGCTGAACTGGGCATGGAAGCAGGAGCTGAGCAGCCCCTGTGTGGGGTGGGATGGGGGCAAAGGCAGATGTGCATGCTCCAGTTGCTGCATGGAGGAGAGCAGCCACTGAAGCACAGGAGGGGTTGGTGTGGGGGTGGGTGGGGAGCCAGCAAAGGGAAAGATGGTTTGTAGGGGTTTGCAGCCACAGCTGGAAGTTGTCTCAGAGGGCAGGAGGAACGTGGTGGCTTGTGCCTTGGAATCCAACTCTAGTGTGGCCTTTACTGCCTGGGCCTGGGGGTGAAGCTCTGCAGGGCTGAGAGGGGGTAGCTGTTTGGAGGCTGGCTCAGGCCCGTGTGGGCAGCATCCCATGGCAGAATCCAAGCTGGACTGGCAGCCGTGGGGACCCAGTGGCAGGCACAGCCCCTGGCAGAAGAAGAAGGTGGAGGTGGGTGAGGGGAACAGGAATTGCCTGGTGCCTCCTTGACACTTCAGTGCTCTAGAAATCTTTTCCCATGTCCTTGGTGCCTGCTAATTTCAGAGTGGAGGTGACCCCCTTTTGTGCATCCCCCCAGGGCCTTCATGTCTCAAAAGGCCACAGTGAGTCAGAAAAGAAATTAAATATTCTCTCTGTTTCCTGGTGTGTGCAGGTGTTGTTCTAAAAGATGCTGCATGCCCCAGTGGGGTGGAAAAGGGCTGATGGGGGTGCTGGGGAAGGGGATGGAATCCGTGGAATATTGGGCTCCTCAGCTCCAAGTGATGGAAACTCCTGAGGAGCAATGGAAATGGGTGAGCCCCCACCCAGTGCACCCAAAGAGGGGTGCCCTCAAGCAGCCCCTGGCGTGGGGCACCCTGGGACAAAAGCACCAGCGTCAGATGCAGCAAATGATTGGAATAAAAATCAACAGAGGCCTTTCTCAGCAAACAGCTGCAGTGCTGATCACACATCAGAGCATCTGGGAGACTTAAAAATGCACAACCCCTCCAATTTCATGCTGGGTGCTTCAGTAAGGACAAGAGTGCCCACAATTGCGATTGCTCCATCTGCAGGGTTTCTGCCCCTTAGGGCTTTAACTGCTTGCAAATGGCATGAAGCCTTCAGAAACTGGAGCATGATGATGGCAGGAGGTTGTGCTTGTGTAGTGGCTGGACTGAGGTGCCTGAGGGGCATGAGGGCTGCTGGCAGCCTCACCACAGTCTCCTGGTGTCCCTTCTTTCTGTAGGAATGTGCCTGGATGGGCAGCAGCTGCTGGCTGGGGTTGGGGTTGTGTCCTAAATCCTGTGGGGCTGAAGTAACCTCCTGTGCTGAGAAGACATCAGACCCCTGACCTTGACATACTGACCTGTTGTCTCAGCCTTTTTTCTTCACTTTTTAAATTACCAATCCCAGGATGGGGGAAATTCTCAGAGCCTGGGACTGGAGGCCCAGGCATGCTGGCACTGCATGGGCATCCTTCCCAAAATGGTCCCTGCCTGTGGCAGCCCAAGCTCCACTGCTTCTTTTCCCAGGGTGTGCTTTTTAGTGACTTCATCTCAAATATGTGGGATTATCCTGGCAACTGAAAGGTTGGACAAACCAAGTTCTTCCCTTGGGATTGATTTTCTGGAATGTCCCAGGTGACTCCAAGCTGGGACAGGCTTCCTGGGGCAATTCCCAGTGCTGGAGGTTGGTGTCCAGCCTGGCTGAAGGCTGGCAGCATGTGGGAGCTCCCTGCTCCCACAAATGGCTGGGAGCCGAGGGACAATTCCTGACAGAAAATTGTGCCAAAAACCTCACAGAAGGTCCTGTAATCCCCAGCCCCTTTTGCTCCCCAGGTCACCAGCAGTAGGCCCACACACCTGGGCATCCTTTCTCCTGCTGCCTACCCGCCCAGTCCCAAAACGGAGGAGCCCACCGACCCCACCATGTCATCGGAGCCCAGCGCCCCGCCGGCAGTGCCACCCCTGCACTCCCCCAAGTCGCCGGTGTGGCCCACCTTCCCCTTCCAGCGGGAGGGCAGCCGCATCTGGGAGCGGGGCAACCTCCTGCTACGGGACCTGCCCAGCCCCCTCCCCACCAAGAGGACCAGGACCTACTCGGCGTAAGTACCTGCTGGGTTTGGGACCGTCCAGTGGAGCCGTGGTCACCTGCAGTGCCTGCAGAGCCCTTTGCACCTGGTGCACTTTGCCACCGCGGTGCCCAGCACCGCTGCAGCCCTGCCCAGAGTGCTGTGGGTGGGTGCCATGCACTCGGCTGGAACTGTCGTGTTCGTAGCAAAAATCCCTCCCTGTGCCTCCACCTGGGCAAGTGCCACCAGTGAAAAATCTTCCCTTTCCTCCTGTAGGACAGCGCGTGCCTCTGCTGGCCCCATCTTCAAGGGTGTCTGCAAGCAGTTCTCTCGCTCCCAGGGCCACGGGTTTATCACCCCAGAGAATGGCACCGAGGACATTTTCGTGCATGTGTCTGAGTAAGTCCCAGGGCTGTGCGGTGCTGGAAGGCCCCAAGGAAGCCATGCCATCAGCATGGAGCTGGAGACTTGTGGGCTGGGGTGTGGATATCTCCATGGGGTGGACATGGGTCTCTGCTTGTCCTGTACCCTCCATCACCAGTGGGTTTTCTTTTCCAAGGCACAGCTGGTGGGTCAGGTGCCTTCCTTCGTTTTGGGTGGTCTGGGGCAGGGGTCCATCTCTTGGCTGTGGCACCACCACCACCACCTCTCCTTTCCTCTCCTGCAGCATCGAGGGAGAGTATGTCCCAGTGGAGGGGGACGAGGTGACGTACAAGGTCTGCCCCATCCCTCCCAAGAACCAGAAGTTCCAGGCAGTGGAGGTGGTCCTCACCAACCTGGCGCCCCACACGAAGCACGAGACATGGTCTGGCCAGATCATCGGCTCCTAGGCGCCCAGGGGGGCCGCCAGCCACTCAGCCCCATGGAGCAAGCCTGCCCAGCCGCTCACAAGGGGTGTGGGGGGAGCCGAGGCGGCGGCGGGGCCGGGGCTGCCCCCAAACATGCAGGCGTTTGCGTTCAGTGTCTTTTATAAGGTTACGGTTTCCTTTCTCTGTGTGTGTTTGTAAGTGTCTGTCGAGGGGGACGGGGGAAGTGGAGCCCTCCCTGACTGTCCCCCAGCTCCGGGGGCAGCACCGAGCCCCATGTTCCATTCCTTGCCCCTGAGGCCATGGGGAATAGAGGAACCAGTCCTAGCCCCAGCCCTCCAGCTCTACTGGGCTGAAGCAGGTGCTGAGAGCAGGAGGGGGTGGGGAGAGGCTGGGTGGCTCGGCTCACCCTCCTGAACTCCACTCTGGCAAGATGGGCACCCCACTCAGTCCACAGTGGGACAGCAGCAGTGGGACATGCCCTGGTGCAGGGACAAAACATGGTGGTGTGAGGTGGCATATCACTGTGCGGGGTCTGGGGGCTGAGACCCATCCCCATCGCTGGCAGCTCACAGCACCCACCTGAGCCACATCCCTCCATCACAAGATCTCAGGTCAGCGGTGCCACGGGGAGGTGACTGCTTTACAGAAAGCAAAAATTTGGTTCTAAGAGGCAGACAGCTGCTGGCAGGGCACCCGGGGCACTCGGTGCTGCTGTGCCTGGGGGGCTGCACCTGGGCACGGGGCAGGGGGCACTTGGCACCTCTGTGCTCCCCACTGCTGCTGGGCAGTAATGCACTTTTCTTGGCTCAGTGCTGATACGGTTTTGGGGAGACAGACACTTTCTCCTCCTTCTCTTGCCCTCCAGCCCCCTGGGGACCCCCTTCCCACGTGTGTGTGTGTGTGTGTGCATGTCTGTAGCTTGCTGGGGCGGTGAGGGGCTGAGGGTCTGAGCAGCCTCGGCCATGGGGCGAGCACAGCCACCTCCTCCCCAGCCCCTCGGTGTAGGCAGGGTCTTGTATACAAAGCACAAACTTTGGTTTTGGTCTTTTCTGCCATACCCTGGCCAGGTGGGCTCCCACAGCCCCAGGGAGCGACGGGGCAGAGGGCACTGGGACAGGGACAACATGCACTGGGCTGGTCTTGAGCTCACCCCAGGGAAACAATGCCGATGCTCCAGGAATTACCAGCATCTTAAGGGGTTCACAGCAGGCTGGGGACAGTGGGGTGCCAGCAGGTCCTCCCCAGCAGGGCAGGAGCTCCAGGCAGCTCCCGGAGCACCGTGCCAGCAGGAGCTGCTGCTGTTGGCGACAGGGCTAAGTGGGGAAGAGGAGCAGAGCAAGGCTGCTGCCACGCAGGACAGCTGGGCCCTGTGGATTCAGGAGGACCACGCTGGTGTGGGGATTGCCCCAGGACCCTCCGGCCCATCTCACTGCCAAGCCAAAGCCTGGCTCTCCCAGAGGCCGTGGCAACGGTGGCTCAGGCTCCAGGCATCCCCAGGACATGCAGTCAGCTTGGCCAAGGCAAACTGTTGGATTTTTTTTTTTTAAATAAACTAAAACCCTAGACTTGTTGGTGTTTTTACAACTCTGGTGTGGTTCCCGCCTGTCTGACCATGTGTCAACCTTTGTAACATTGGCAATAAACCATTAAAAGTGACTTTCCCATGAGCCCTGCCCATCCTGGCTCTTTGTCCTGTGTGCATGTGTCACAGTGACTCTCTTAGGTAAAGCACCTGGAGCACCCAGGAGTTTATCCAGACATCAGAAAGGACTCACCCACAGTATGTCACTGAGGGGGCTGGAGATGCTCCACACTGTGGGCCTGGGACAGGAGGCTGCTGCTCACCTGAGGGGTGACCAGGAGTGGGGCTGGTCCCCCATTGCTGTGGGGACTGTGAAGTGTGTCCTGCCTGTTGTCTGCCTGCCCTTCACCCAGCACAGCCCAGCACAAAGCACACACTGCATCCAGCTGCTGCGTGTTGTGGCTTTAATAGGATTGATTTTAATTTTTTAATATACACATCTATGTATTTAAATATATTTCTCATTTAACAGTTTCATCAGCCAGACAGGAGCTGCCCATCTCACACTGATATGGATCCAAACAGCAGGACAGTCCCAGGTAGGGCCTGCCACGTCTGCTTGCTCACACCCATGGGGAGAAACCCCAGTGATGCTGCGGGCACCCACCACGAGAGGAGCATCATGGCAAAGGGGCCTCAGGGACAGGCATGAAATGCCTTTCACTTCAAAGGTGCATGTCACCTCAGCCCCCAAGGCCACCACGGTGCCCCACGCCGTCAGGGCCAGACCCTGCTCTTCACTCATCACTAAGCTCATCAGAAGTCCTGCTGGCTATGAATAGACTCACAGGAAAAATAAACTCCCCAAGACTCACACATATCCTGATCCACAGTGAAACAGAGAGGAAGGAATCACAAAACACAGTTCCTCCACGAAGGTTGCAGTGGAGGGCCAAAATGTGTGACCTGTGAAAAGGGTATCCTGAACACAAGCTTCTCCAACAGGTCCTCTTGTCCCACACAGAAATCTTCCCTGGGTAGAAAGAGGAATTTGTGGCTTTGCTGGGGATTTCTGGATGCCAGGCAGACTGCTGTGCTCATGCAAATGTGCTGCATCAGAGATCTGATGTGTTGTAGTTAGGAGGTGCAGTCAGGTGGAGGAGACAGCACCCCACCAGCACTGGTCATGCAGTATCCCTGCTCCTGTGGCCAGGCAGCAGTGCCAAGGGCCACCAGGGACTTTGCCCATGGCAATGTGGGGATCCAGCCCTGCCCTGGGTCTAAAAGCACCAGTGTCTCTCGCCTGAGGAGGATGGTGGTGCCTTGGTAGATGGTGGTAGGCAGCTGAGAAACTCCTCTCTGCAGTCCAGCTGCCAGTGGAAAATGGAGAGCCACAATGAGGAAATCAAAAACAGAAGAAAAAGGAGAGAGAAAACAGGACCAAGAGATGGGGCAGTGCCATAACCAGCAGGGATGAGGTAAGAAAGGTTCCTGGGAAACAACGGGGGAGGGTTTGCAGAAACCTCCAACATTCTCCAGGTCCACAAACACCAGATCTGCGTACCTTGGGGAGCTACAAGCAGGACATCTCCCTGGAGGGGATCCCTGAGCTCCTTTTGAGCACCAAGTTGTGACAAGTGTCACCATTGTGGCCACACACCACAATGCAACTGCCGGGAATAAAAGGACAATGTGAGGGACAAGGTCAAAGGCTGAAGGACAAATATGGGTTTGCAACCCACAAAGATCCAGGGAGAGGACATATGACAATTGCACTGGACATCCTGCCTCCCTAAAGGTGAGCTTGTGAACTGGGTGTGTGGGATGAGATGGGGGGAAGAGCAAGCTTGGAGGGCACTGCTGAGCAGGTACCTCCAGTAGCTCTGTGAACCAGGTACAGCCGGTGTTGGCCCTGCTGAAAATGCCCCTGGCAGCAGGATGGAAAGCTGAGCACTGGGGAGGGAAGGGGACTTGGTCTGTTATGAATGCCCGGGGTAAGGTTTTCTAAGGACACCTCTGGGAGCTGGGCCCGTTTAGTCCAGAGAAGAGGAGACAGATCTCATGAATGCATATAAACATCTCAAAGGCAGATGCCAAGAGCATGTGCCAGATTCTCCTTGGCGGTGCCCACCAACAGGATGATGAGCAATGGCCATAAACTAAAACACAAGGCTCCACTTCAACATGAGGAAGAACTTCTTTACATTGAGGGTGGCAGAGCACTGGAACAGGCTGCCCAGGGAGACTGGGGAGTCTCCCTTTCTGGAGACATTCAAAACCCACCCAGACACATTCCTGTCACCTGCTCAAGGTGACCCTGCCTTGGCAGGAGGGTTGGCTAGATGATTTCTAGAGGTCCCTTGCAACCCTAACAATTCTGTGATTCTGTGATGCTCAATAGATGCAGGAGTGGGAAGACCTCTGGAAATCCTTCTACTCCAAACTGTTCCATAGCATGAAGTGCCAGGATCCTCCAGCTGTGCCAAGCAAGGTCTGACTTGAAAATAGAGAATAGTATAGAAAATAAACCCTAGGTGGTTTTTGTAAGCTAAAGAGAATTGGTTTCTTTATGCAGAGCATAAAATTGGTTTCTTTCTTCAGAGCAGCAGCCCAGCCATGTTAAAACTATCATTCCCAGGTCATCTGCAGGGAGGGACTGGCACACTGTGGCACTGAGGGGAAGGACACGGTGACCTCTCCATTAGAAAGCACAACAGTGCAACAAGCTGGGAACTCAGCTACTCCTTCCTACCACAGGCTTGGAGCAAACAGCCTTCCTGGCCTCCTGCCTCAGAGCAGTTCTGCCAAGAGCCTCAGCAGCCCCAGCCTCTCTGGCCAAGGTGCAAGGGGCAGAGAAAGGTGAGCCACACATTCCCTCATGCACAAGTGTTACGAGAAAGTGAGTGGAAAAGGAGAAGAGGAGAGGAGAGGAGAGGAGTGCAGGACGGACACACACTCACTCTTTTGCCCTTTCTGACCACAAAAGCCTCTGCATCACCGCCCAGCACAGCTGAACTGTCAAGAGAAAAGTTTCTCTGGAGAGGAGGAGGGTCTGGTGCCGTGCCGCCCAACCCCACACGGGGAGCGCTGAGGGGCTGCTCAGCCAAGGCCCCCTCCTGCCACCCACCCACACTCACGTGTTACATCCTGGCCAGCTCTGTCAAGTGTTTTTTTGGTCTACCCTGAGCAGATTCCACAAATGAAGGTGCTTTTCCTGGTGGGGGGAGAGGGTGGGACCGGGGCAGGGCTGCAGGGAGCGGGCAGTCAGCACTCGTTTGCTCTTTCTGGAAAGAAGATTTCACGGCATCGCTGGACCGTGTCCTGCGGGGACTGGACACTGTGTCCTACAGTGCGGGGATCATCATAGATTTCATAATCGTTCCCTCCCTGCAGGGGAACAGAAAACAGGGACAGCATTAGCAGGGTCTTGCCAGAACAAAGTCATCCATGAATCCAGATTTTGCTCTGTCCTGTGGGAAGCTGGGCTGGGAATCAAAGGCTGGGCAGGCAGGGGCAGGCAGGGCTTTGCTGGCCCACGGGGGCAGAAGAGGCTGGGCTGGGAGCTCTTCTCCATCCCTCTTGCCTCCCTCTTCAGTGCCAGGGGAGGAGCATAGAAAAGATGGGGAAGGTCCCAGATCGGCAAAGCTTGCCCAGGAGCCTGGGTTAACCCCTTCCCTGCCTGTGGAGGGGCTAGCAGAAGGTGGGATGGGCATATCTGGGGAGCAGAGGCTGCCAACATCTGGGAAGAGCTGAGTGGATGACCAAGCTGATCCACAGCAGTAAGGAAGCTTCATCCTCCACTGCTCTAAAGGGAAGGTGAAGCTGATCCTGCTGTTGAGGAGTCCTCTCCCAAGTGCTGGGGGCTTGTGTTCTGGGTCATGCCGGCCACAGCAGTGGCTGCTGCCATCCCGAGGGTGCTGGGGCAAGGGAAGCAATGCTGAGGTGGACCTGCTTCCCAGCACAGTGAATCCAAGGTGGTTTCCCCACGAGCCAGCAGAGCCATCATGAGAGCACACTCACAGCACAAGGCAGCATCCTCCCCCCTCACACCACTAAAGGTCTGTGCTGGCACCAGTGGGACCATGGGACCCACAGGACCCGTGATGGAGCAGCAGGAGAGAAAGCAGCCAGTGTTGCATACTCACAGGGGTTGTCTCGTTCCCAAAGAAGTGGATGGTGTCAAATCTCTCATCGTCGAGCACATTGAGGCAGTAGCGCTTGTCCCAGCCCTCTGGGAACACGTCAAAGCTGATCATGCCACCTGCCAGGAGAAGGGAGGGCATCAGGCAACCTTGCTGGGAGCTGGCAGGGTGTCCCCCCCACCCTGGGATGGGCAGGAGGATGGGAGGGGGCTGGATGTCTGGGGGGAGCCCCCACCCCAAACAGCAGCCACAAACTCCAGCTCTGCCTTGGTGTTCCTCTTGGCACGTGGCTAGGATAGTGGCAGAGGCTGTTCCTATGACAACAGCCTGCAGTGACATCAGCATGGCTGGGGTGACATTAGCACAGCTTTCCTGCAGGCAAGCAGGAACCAGAGGGTTCTTCCCAAGAGAGGCATCTCTTGGTGGGGAGATTTGGGGTCATGCCTTGCAGATAGCACCAGCACATTCTGTGTCCCAACAGGGGACAAGGACCTTGGAGACTGGCACCAAACTCTCTCCTAGGCTCCTGCTAGACATCACTGGCCTTTCTAAAACCACTCTTCTGATGCTCCTTAACTGTGCAGGGACGGGGGTCTCCTGCAGGCTGTGTCTGCACACTGATCAAGGACCAAGGACCTTGCCATGGAGGTACCACCAACCCACTGACATAATCAGGGCATGACCCTGATCTGTGACTCTTGACACAAGAATTTAGTGAGGGTTGCCAACATCTGGAGAGGCACCAGGTCACATCTGACCAACACAGAGTGGCAAGGGAGCTTTCCCAGAGAACATGTGTATGGACATGGACACCCACAGCCACCCAGGGTTAACAAATGTCCCAGCCCTTGCCCTTAGAGCAGGCAGAGTTTACCCCAGCACTTTGCTGTTTTTGGGGGTGCTTGGAGGCAGCAGCTTCCCCATCCTCTCAAGTTCCCCACTGTGTCCACAGGCTGCAGAGACCCTTGTCCCAGCACCACGACAGGAGACAAGCTCTTCCCAAAATAAAGCCTGCAGCGTAGGGTACATGCATGCTTGGGTCCCACTCAGAGCCAGAGGTACAGGGATTTGAGCTGGTCTGTGTGACCTCCTGCCAGTCAGCTTGTCTTCTCCAGGCAACCGACTGGAGCATCCACAAGAAATCCTGGAGTTTCACACTCTCTTTCTTAAATGATAACCCCACCTCTCTAAGGAAGAGGGTGAGTAGACGATAATCACAGGGTCAGTTCCTGCTGAAGAAGAGGCACTGACACCCCAGGTTGCTCAAACATGCAAGCCCTGATGTCAGGCACCTCTCCTTCCTGGCTGTTTGGAGTGTCCCTGTTGGTTTGGGGATCCTGAACCAAGCCTCCTTGGAGCCTGAGAAGATAGAGCCTACATGTCCACCTTGCAGCAGACATCCAGCATCAGAGCAGGAGCTAAACTTGGTGACATCCTCTTTTTTTGCATCCCAAGCCATTTACCTGTAAAAAGCACTGCCTTTCACTGTATTCTAGCCCTCCAAACAGAGCTGGGCAGCAGGAAGAGTATCAGCTGGAGCAGGTAAGAAATCAAAGGGTGAAGGGGTGGTGTGAACCAGCCAGCACTGTTACTCCTCTAAGTACAGCAGGGGCCTGGGGGCTGCAGGGAGATCTCCCACCACCTCTGGGCCTTGAATCCTCCACAGCCACAAGGCACATGGAGCCAGCCTGGCAGAAGAGCTGTGTTTCTGCATGCCCTTTATTCAGACACCTGACCTGAGACACCCCACATTTTCTTTGTGGAGGAGCAGGGGGCCCACAGCTCCCCTTCGTGTCTTTATAAACAGGCCTGGGCTCTTTGTGGCAGCTCCCCAAAGCCCGAGGGCACACAGCAGCAGGCACCTTGTCTTTCTCTGCTCTGACAAATGGTGTGTGCCAGCGCTGTGGGCAGCACAGGATGCCCCTGGCAGGATGCTGAAGGCAAGTGAAAGCTCTCAGAGAAAAACTCTTGGAGGATCAGAGGGCCTGGGGTGCCACCCACTGCCTCAGCCTCACCACTCCCTTGCCCTTTGGCTGGGCTGCCACATGGAACATTCCTGTGTTGCACCCCTGCAGAGGATCCTCTCCCAGCATCACCCCCACAACTTACACACCCTCATTTTTCTCCCTATCTTGGCCAGACACCCAGGATTGCTCAAGCCCCTCCTTCAGCTCCGCATCTTTGGTAAGCCGGCTGTCAGATCATCCCAAGAAGTGGCCCTACAAAGGGAGCTGCAATCTCCTTACTCCTTGTCAGATCTCCCTTCAGGAAAAAAAAAAATACTTCCCTTGCAGCTAACTGTCCCAAAAAAAAACCCCAGAGCCAAGACATGCATTAGTCTCCTGTCCCATTCCTAGAGAAGCCTGCATGTGCCTGGGGCTCTGCTGGCTGCCGTGCTGCTGAGGCTTGAGCTAGAACAGATTCCTTGGGCAGCAGTGGGCTCCAGTAGCTGAGATTAAGGCAGGGATAATGCCACAGGATGGAAACCTGGCTGGCTGGCCGATTCCCAGGGAGGGAAGTCTGCAGCATGGCTTACTCTCTGCATGGATGCAGACGTCATGCATGCAATCGTGACTCCCCTGTGGCAGCTCTCCAGGACTAAAATCTGCTCTTCCCAGGGTTTCCAGACAGAGGGAACAGTTGGGATTCCTGCTCCCTTTCACAGAATTTTATGGGAAACATGATAAAGGCAAAGCCAAGGAACCCTCCCTGCTCACCTCGAGAGAAACGCAGACCTTTGCCAGCAAATTCCCTCTGCAAGGCTGCCACAAACTTCTCCCGTATCCGCTCTTTCTGTGGAGGATCAGGGGAAAGGGAAGAAAAGAGGGTTTGAACAATTAGATGTTGACAGTCTCCCAGAAACCACTGTGACCTGTCTGCTGGGCAGCTCTGCTCCCTCCCCAGCTGCCTTGGGCCCCAGTGCCATGCCATTTAGCCGGCTGCCACCAGTCCTGCCCAGTGTGTCCAAGCAGGCCACCAGCTCACTCCACTGGGGAGGAGCAGATCCCAGATCTTCCTTGGCAATGAAATGCAACTGCTTCAGTTTCCCACAGCTCAGTTCATAACCCAAACCCTCCAGTTTTGCTTAAAAAGTCTTGCAAACATCAGCTGATCCCTCAACCCCAAGATAGCTTCCCCCGGCAGAAACTGCATGAGCATGGGCCAAATCCTCTGGAGACCTGCCCAGCAGACCTGCCGTGACCCTCCCAGTTTGGAAAGCCCATTAGTTCCAGCTCTGTTGGGGCTGGGGAAGTGGGAGAGAGAATACAGCTGCTGGGCCATCTTTGGGTACTGCAAATGAGGAAACACTGTTAAAGAACTGCCACATTCCCTGGGGCTCTCCCACAGCACAGGGAATCCTGCTGGCCACCCCCTTGTGTTGGTCGTCCCTAATGAAATCAAGTTTCTTCCACTCATTTTTGTCTTCCCTTGGGTTTCCTGGCTCCTAGTCCTGTCCCTTGTTGCATATGCACAGCTTGAAGCTGGACCTCCCTTCTCCTTGGGGGGAGCACGTAAGACCTGAGATCTGGGGTGCTGCCAAACCAGCCAGGGGGAGGCTGAGCCCAGGTCTGGCCCTTGTACCTTGTCCAGCTCGGAGAACTCGATTCGCTCCTCTGGGGTGCAGCTGCGGCCAATGGGGGAGATGTTCAACATTCCATTGCGAAACTCAATGAAGGTCCCTCTGCGGGTGGGCAAAGGCACAAGGTTACTGGGGCAGGGAGAGAAAAACAACCTTTCCAGGAGAATGGCTGCTGAGCGAGGCTCTGCAGGAACGTGCAGGAGGGAAGGAGAGAAGCCATGCCCATTCCTGAGTGATTCACAACAGGCACAGGTCAGGCACCAACAACTGCTTAAGGCTCCAGGGAGCTCAAAGTTTTACAGACAGATAAGAGAAATAAACAGTCCCTCCGTGCCCTGGGGATAGGCTGGAAGCAATGAGCTTAGGGGAGATGACAGATAACATTTTCTAATGTTGTGATAGCTGCAAAGACAGCTATTCCCTGGCCTGGACCAGCTGCCTGATGAGGCTGTGGCACCTCTACCCCACGAGGCTCTTAAGACATGCTGTGTGGGCTGGGTGAAGCTGGCAGTACCTTGGGGCACTGGGATGGCCCAGGTCAGTGTAACTCGCTGTTGACGTCAGGCAGCAGGCTGAGGAGCAATCAGTGCCTCCTCAAGGGACACAAATCAGGGTCTTTGTATCTCCCTCTTGACCCCTGCACCTTTGACTGCAGCTCTTATCTAAGCCTGCACAGACAGGATCCAGTTCCTGCTTGCCACCCTCACCCTGTGCTGGGGTAACTTCTTGGCTGCTTCCTCGGTGGGGTGGTTGAAAGCACTGAGCTGGCAGAAAACTGCTCCCTTCTTTTGTGTCTGGTGAAAACCCAGCTACTTCTGTTTGCTTATTGAGGGGTCAGACAGCTATACCAGTACTGGTAGGGCAGAAACAACAGGGGGTGGCAGCCCTGACAGTGTGAAAACAGATGGAAATTCTTGTGCTGGAGAGGGAGATCCCCTCCCCTGTCCAGCTGAGGACCCCTGAGCTCATTGTCCCTCCCAGCCCTGCCTGCTGTTTCTCTGTGATAAAGTGCTTACCACCCTGAGTCTGGAGGAAAAGCTCTCCCCCTCCTATCTCCTGACACAGTGAGGAACATCATGGAATGGACACACAGGCAGCCATGCCTGCAGCCCAGGAGCAGCATCTCTGTGGCACTGAGGGTTTGGTGGCTCACATCCCAGGCCAGGACTCAGGAGATGTGGGTTAAAGTCCTTGCTTTGCTAGAAATCCCATAAGGCTAAACCCACAGAGCTACCTGGGAGCTGAAACTCCACCAAGGCTGTTGGGTAACCAGACAGCAGTGAGGCAACCAAACAGCCCTGAGGGCTCTGGGTCCCAGCCTGTGCTTTTGGGGGCCTGTTCTGCCAGCAGTCCTGTTGCAAGGAGCCACCCTAGCCCCCCTCACTGGTCCTTGTACTGCCACGTGGTGACTCATAACAAACAAATAATCTGGATGACAGTTTAGCAACTTTTATCAGATTAATTTCACCTGTTTTGTGTTCACTGTACATACACAGGGGGCGAGCAGGAAAAAAATCAGCCATGGCAAGGGGAGGGCAGAGCTGCTGCCCCCAACAGCCCTGGGTGGCTCACGTGTTCTTGAAACTGTGGTCTGAGCTGAGGTTTGACCCTGCAGCCAGGCTGGTTTAACTGCAGGCTGCACCTGAAAGAGGCCCTCCTGCTCCCCCCTTCCACCTTCATGCCATCAGTTCTCTCTGTCTCTTTCTGTGCTAACAGTGAGCTGATCCAGTGGAAGACTACCCTTTCTTGTCCTGGCAGTGGCCTGGCCTTCCTTCAGCAGAGGTGTACCAGCCTAGCTCACCCCCTGGCTGCTGGATCTCAAGGGGAAGAGCAGAGAGTAACACAGGGTAGGGAGCAGAGCAGGGTTAGAGCAACACTGGGTTAGAAACAGTGTGAAAATGTGTGCTCAGGGGCTGGACTTCCCATCTTAAGATCCATTGTTTGCCTGGTTGGAAACATATATTACCAGTGATGCCTGATGCCCTGACCAGTAACAAGCTGGCACCATTGTCCTAAATGAGATACACACGGTGGCTGCACCCTGCTTCCCAAGGAGGAAAATCCAAGGGGCAAAAGAGCAGGCATTATGCTAAAACATAGCGCAGACTGTTCAGAACAAACACATTCCATTCCTCCATTATTTGCCCAAGGTGCCCAGCTCAGGGAGACAGCAATCCTACACAGTGCCTCTGGGCGCTAAGATAAATCGTGAAGCAAGACAAGCTCTGTAGATCAGCTCTTTTTAGGAGAGATCTGGAGCTCAGCTCCATAGAAATCAGTGTCATGACTTCCACTGGTATACGCTGGAGCCGTTACCGTTTCTTGGGCAGCTTCAGCAGCGCCATGTAGTTGAGACAGAAGTTGATCAGATCCTGCAGCAGCTCCTCCCCCAAGTGGTCCTGAATGGCCTGCAGAAAGAGAAGGGCAAGTGATGATGCTTGACTTCCCATGAAGCCCACCTGGAAGAGGTGGCAACTGGGGCGAGGAGGCTGCCCCTCTGCCTGGGTAGGGCAGGTGCTGCTCCCCACGGAGCACAGGGCAGGAGAGCCATGGCTGCAAAGGGAGCTGGACTCACCTGCTTGGACACCAGCTGCCCGTTCTTGTACTGCACTGTGCCGTTCTCTGCGAAGACGTAGTCAAACTTATCAATGACTGAGAGGGGAGGGAAAAAAGAGGAAACATTACTACTGCCTGGGAAAAGGGGCAAAAAGGACTGGGATCAGGACTGAGTGAGCCATCTTCTTGTTTCCTTCCACAGCTCCTGTCCTCTGCAAAGGGCCACTGGCCATCCTCTGCTCCTCGCTTTCCGCGAAGCGGATGAGGAGATTATCTTCTGCTCACGGCTGGGGAGGTGACGCGCGCAGGGGGAAACGACCTGACTGAGGTCACGGGCTGAATCAGTTGCAGGACGAAGATAAAGGCTCACAGACGTTTGGCTTTCAACTACATTCGTGCTGCTCCGCTCGCTGCTGTGCCCTCCCCACTGCCAGGCTGCTGGGGTGATGTGGTTACTGGTTATCTAACTCCAGCCCCCCCTGCAACCCAGACACGCAGCACTGGCGACTCAGCAATCAGCCTCAGCCGGGAATTTCTCGGCCTCCCTTCACTAACGAAGTGGAAGGCAGAGCTTGGAGCCCAGTGGCGCTTCTCATCCATGCCGGAGAACACGGTGGAGGAGGCAGTCGTTGCCTCCTTGCCCTCCCACTCCTTCCTCTACCCCATGTTCCCGTTGGAAGGCGAGGAGGAACCTGCAGGGACCCCAGCACGGAGCAGCAGGGAGGCGAAAATTGCCGGCGGGGCGTGAAGCTGTCAGAGCTCTGAGGCAGCTCGTACGAAACGAGCCGGCAGCCCTGGATTGGAGCCGGCAGCTTGGATTGGAGCATCCCTGCCTGCCCTCCACACACGGGGAGAGGGAGGCAAGCAGCAGCTCCCGCCTGGGCACGGCCAGCCTCTCCAAGGGCAGCCTCGGGGTTGGATTTAGGGCACAGCTGACCCCCCGGGAGACCTCGTCCGCCGCGCTCACCTTCGTCCCCTTCCCCCAGCTGCTCGGCTATCTTGGCATAGTCGGAGCCTCCCACCACGCCGATGTGCACCCTCTCCCGCAGCTCCCGCAGGAACGCGTCCACCTCCGGCTCGATTTTCTGGCGGGGAAGCAGCGGGTGAGGCCGCAGCCGGCGGGACGAGCTCCGCCTCGCTGGCCGAGCCCCCCCGAGCCCCGCGCCCCCGCGTCTCGGTACCTGCCGGGCCGGCGTCAGGGTCCCGTCCACGTCGAAGAGACAGAGCACCCGGCCCCGCGCCGCCGCCATCCCGGCCGGGCTGTGCGGGCGGGGCGGGACCGCGGAGCTGATGGCGGCTGCCCGCCCCCCGGGGCCGCGCGGGCGGGACGTGCCGCGGGGCCGGCACCCCGCGTCCGCTCCCCCGCGGCTCCACGGCCCCTAAAGGATGCACTAAGGTGCGGTCTTGAACGGCGTCGGCTCCTTCCCTAAATCATTTCAGAGCCGGGAGTTCGGGGGAGGGTGCGCGTGTGGCGCTCTTCACATTCGCTGTTATTACTGCAGTGCTCCCGGAACCGAGGGGCTCTGGATTGTGCTGCCTCCTGAGTTCAGCTCCTCCGAGGGTTTCCGTGTCCTAGTGAAGGGGACAGGAGCAGCACGCACTTTCCTAGTCAGTGCCTCACCATGCTTTTCCAATGGGATGCTGTTAATATTTTCACTGGGGAAGTGAAAATACTCTCTGCACAAAGCCAGTAGCTTTTGCTTTGACCCGCCTACCATTTACCCCACGAGTCATTTAGGATTTAATTAGACCATCTGGTCAGACCATATTCATACAGCGCTGTACTATGGTGGCCTGATGCTGACAGCTGGCGCCATACCCCTCCTCCTCCCCACCCCCCGGTCTCTTACAATAATTCCTGAATCATTTTCCAAAATCAAAACCAGTTTATGTGGAGCATCCAATGCTTTCTGTTCAAAAATTAGCTTGCATTCTTTCCCCCAACAGCTCAGTGTGCTAGGTTGGAACTGGGGAGAGATTTATTCTTCTTTTACAGTCTTGATTGTTTTTTGCCTCAGTATAATTTGCTCCAGGATATCGTGCAATTCCTTTTCCCAGTTCCCCACCAGATTCCTCTCAAAAGGAAGCATTCAGGTGGCTTCACAGATTCTGTTTTTTTCTTGTTTGCAGTTTATGATTTTCCTGCTCCCACTCAGTGGCAGGGGTATGCACAGAAACAATGTTAATAATTCACCTCTGTGCCATTGTCTCAGACAAGGTTTACCAAAGTACCCTCAGCTACTTTGTGGGGGAGACATTCCTAAAGTCCACCAGGACAGCTGTTTCCATACTGTTTCTGTGAGCTGCCTCCACAACACAGCGAGTCAGGAATCTTGGATGGGTATTACATGTGTTATCCCAGCACTGATATTTCTGTAGAATCTGTGGCCTCTGGATCAGACCTGGTTATGGACTCCCACCTCTGGGAAGGTGGACCCTTTTCTCAGATGCAGGGAAGCTCCCAGAATGGTTTCAAAGTAGCACCCAGCTACTTTGTATGCAGTTGGGTGCCGAGTTTTGAGCTGAGTTTAGGTTACGCTCATTTGTAGGACTTGTTGGGGTGTGGTTACAAATTTATCATCAGTTAATGTGTGGACACTTACTCCAGAATATGAATCCATCCAAGTGTGCCGACCATGGCATGCTGACGGCTGAGTAGAGATGCCTTCCTGCATTTGGGTGTTGAGTGCCAGAAGCCAAGGAACTGTTTTTCCACACAGCAGAGCCATGAGCTAACACCCAGGGCTCTCAAAGAACAGCTGTGGGGTCAGACACACCTCGAACTCCTGGGGTTTCAGGAATGCAAACCTTTATTTTCCATAAATCATGACATGGTATGAGGAGGACACTTCCCATGTCTGGGTGGAAGCGGTGTGGAGTTAGAAAACCTATTGCAGCAGCACTGGGCTCTCCATGGTCTTGTCTCCTGGCTGCTCCTACCTGCAGCTTTCTTGTCTGGGAGACCTCCCTCGTGCCTCTTGCACTGATGTTACCATGGGCATCCCAAAAGCGGGAGCCGCTCTCCCCAGGCTCAGGTGCATCCCTGTGCTGCAAGGCAGCAGTGCCACCTCGGGGCACTTTCCAGAACTGGGAGGTCTGCTCAAGTACTGGACAGCGCTCACATTTTCACACTCCTGCAGTACTATTGGGTTCACGCTACCCACAAGAACTTCCTGAAACCTGAATTACCTGCTGTGCTTTCTCAGCTTCTTGTGCTGCTTTAGGGAGTCTCTTCATGTCAAAACGCCTCTCCCAGGAAGCGCCTTGGCAGCCATTTGGTATCAGCTGGCGAGGACCTGGGACAATTTGGTTTCTCTGGGAGCATAAATGTGCCTTGTGCTTTAGTGCACAGCTGTCCACAGCTGTGGCTGTTCCCTCAGCTGGGTCAGCTCTGAGATCAGAGCCACAGACCGTGGCTGTTCTGGTTATTTAATACTTCACACTCCAACCACTCCTGGTACATTCGCTTGGTTGCCGTTCGGATAGGCGGCAGCTGTTGTCAGGAATAAAATCTCTTGTTACCACAGGAAAGGCCAGGAAATTTTGTTTTGAGGTTTAGAAGGCAAGCAATTGTGAGCATTGACTTACACTCTGTCTAGAGCTGCCATTAAGGTCAAGGTTTTCCTTTTAGTTTTAAAATTTAATCTTTAAAAAGTAAAACAAAACAAAAAAAAATTAGAATACCTGTTTCCAGGTATTTTCTTTGGGGCCAGTACTAGTACTTGGTAGCAAATTAGCACCACATCTGAAGAACACAGCCAAAATAACCACAATCACACATCCCTGTTACAATCCCCTTCTGTTACAAGACCTCTTCTGTACTGCGCTGACACACTCTTACACAAACAGCAAACTGTGTGATTTGTCATTTGGATGCCATCAATAAGCATGCAGAAGGCTGAACCAAGCAGAATGAATTTCTTCTCCAGAGCCAGATATTTTAGGCAGTGCTATATAATCCTCCCCAATATATCCTCTGAAGCTCCAGAGGAACGCAGTCATGAAGTCTACGTCTTACTCTACTGCTTTTTTTCCCCTTTTTTTTTTCCCTTTTGAAGGTAACATCAAGGCAGTCAGGAAAATACTTTTTTCCACGTTAAAACTCTGTTTGGCCTCTTCTTCAATAGCAGACATTAGACATTTTTTACTCGTAGACTTAGATTACCAAAGGCTGAACAAAACCTGTGCTGACAGAACATCTTCATTCACCTCATCCAAGCTGTGTCAAGCTGCAGGAGTATGGTTTGAAGTACTTACAGAAGAAAAGATTTCCCAGATTTAAATAAGAATATTGCCTTTGGCCAGTTAGAGCAAAGGGCAGTTGCCACCACTACTTCCAGCAGCAGCACCTGGCACAAACTGCTTGGACAATTTCTCATGCTGCACTTCCCAGGTGGCACCAGAGTGAAGAAAATGACTGCTGGGCAGCTGCATTGGCTGGGCAGCTGTGTGGGCACATGCATTCAACCAGAAAAATGTGTTGTATTTATTTTTATTGTAATAGAAAAAAACCCCACAAGTAAATCAAAACATCACTTTCTGCCTAAAGACATTATTAACATTTTTAAATGGCACAGGGGAACCTCAGCAATACAAGACAGAATAGTAAGTGTGGGCAAAAGGATTCCATTCCCTTTCAGGATTTCAGTTTCCCTGCCCCTTTGTCAAACAGCTGCCTGAAGTTCATCACCTATATACATTTACATACACTTCTCAGTCTAGTTTGTTTTCAGCTGGGTGGAACATTGAGGGCACAGTCCTGCAATTTACACATAACCATCTTTGGAGAAAACAGGTTTCCTAAGAGTCCTGCAGGGAACAGGGGTCTCATTACCCAGTAAGACCAAGCAAAGAGGATTCCCTCTTACAGTTCTTTTGCCACAAAACACAAGAGTAGGTCCTGAGCCCAGGAGTTCTTTGACTATTGCAAACAATATATGGCTGAGTGAAATTTTACCCAGTGACCTTAAAGAAGGAGTATTATCTCTGCAAAGGGGCTCTGCTCAGGAGGGGAAAAGGCAGACTGCAAAAATGCACAGGGTGAATGTCTTCCTTTTCTTTCCTGCCCTGAGAGGATGCAAAAAGTCCTGAAGTAGGCAGCCAAGCAGAAACTAGGCTCAGGCCATCCAAAGTGGTGGACATACAGGGCATATCCTCATTGTGTAAGTGTGTGAGGCAGAAACCATGGCACCACTGCTTCCATCACAGGCAGCTGTGCCTGAAGTGATAGTTTGCTGAAGGGCAAGCAAGCACTTGTGCTGCTTGCAGGTACCAAACCAGCACAGCAGGATGCTGGGCTGCAGTGTCAGCTAGAGTGGACCTGCTCAGCTGAGGAAGCTCCAAGATCTCTAACATGATCTACAGCATTTTGTGGCACAGTCATGTGTGTATGCAGATGAAGGGCTGGTTACTCTCCACAAACATGTATGGGAAAAGACTGGAGATAATACATATACTGGACAGGAAAACTAAGCTATGGCCTAGTAAAACCAAACACCAATCCTCCCTCCAGGAGCATCAAAAGGCATTCATAACTGACTTTCATAGAATGTTTTCTGCAACCAGGACATTTGGAGGGGGAAAGATTGAAAGCTTTTGTATAAAGCCATCTGTGGTAACTGCTACACAGTTACCTCTGAGTCCAGTCCATCAAATGAAATGCTTAAGGAGAAGGTGATGGCACAAGCTGAGAATGACAAGGAAAAGAAGCATCTGGGCTGCAGGGGCCACTGCTGTGCACTGAGAGCAGGTAAACATGAAACAGCAGAATGGCCTCACAATTCCCTATTCCCATCTGTGCACTGGCTCCACAAGGTGCAGGACAACAGAGTACTTGACAGTGACTAAATTGCAGTTTTCCTCTATTCCAACCCCTCAAAAATACAAACTGTTATAGCCCACACAGAATAACAGTGTGAGAAATTTATCAATCTGCATTATTCTGGGAAAAAGAACCCAGCAGAGGAAAGACATCTCCTTTAGCTATATAAGAAGTTTCCAGTGCAGGAAGTTTGAGATGCAGGACTGAATGGCAGCAATACTTTTCACAACAAAGCACTGGACAAATGGCTGTACATTTGCATAGATGCTTTTTTGGCAGCATCTGGGATGTGCAATCCCCATTTATAGAGCATCAGCAGTGTTCTGGGGTTTGTCTGATGTCTTTCTTATATTCCTTCCTACATGTAACTGCTACAAAATTGTTCAGGAAAGTAGTGTACATATATTTGCATGAAAAGAAAACATTGTGCCTATTTTTTCATTCCCCTGTTCTTTCCCACTGCAAGTAAATGCAAAGCTCTAAAAATCTTAAACTAGAAGAT